TTAGAACTTGTTGTATATGGTGACTTGTAGGATGTCTGGCGAACTTGTGTATGGCCCATGGGGTAGCATCTTGACAAGAAACTGAGCAGGCTTGTAGACGTTAGTAACAAAAGCAATATTTTTTATAATTTAGATCTGTGCAGTCATTATTTTTTAGTTTTATTTTAATTTTTTTAAAGTTAATTTCTTTATTATATTGAGGATCTAAACTCACATTTAATTCTCGAGTTGTCAAAAAAATTGCATGTTGCTGTCCTACAGATAGGAGCGATTCACATTTGTGACCACTACGAAATCTGCTGATCAGCATGCGCCACCCTCCCTCCTTTTTTGACATTAAGCTCTGAGATCTTATACAGTGACTTCAGTTGTAATATTGCATTGCTTTGACACCGTTCCAATCAACTTCAGAAGTGATCGACAATACTGACTATTCATGACGCGAAATTTAATTTATGCACGCCTTTCATCAGATCTTGAATAGTGCCGATAGCCGACATCTTGTCACGTGTAATTTTGCTACCTCTGATAAGTAACTATAACCCCATTACCTTTTTCACATGTTTCGTCGCGTTTTTGTGAGACTGTTAACTTGCCCACTGCGCATATATGACTTAACATACTAATGTCTGCAAACTGGTGTCTCTAGCGTACAAAAAATGAAAGTAAGCTATCGTTCATTTCTGCAAATTTGTTGGCTAGTTCGCTTCTTAATAGAGTTCGTCGTCACTTATCCTTTCCGGCTGGCCATCTAATCTTCACTGTCCGGCCAAGGTAGATGCTGATGAAAGTCAGAAGTCACCTGTTGGAAATGCCTCAGGCAAAGTGCACCAGAACTATCTGAACCATATGAAGTACTAATTTGACATCAGTACTAACAATTCAATTTTGTTCTCTGTGTTAGGTGCGATGAATCTTCACAGTGATTTCAGAGTTATCAACTAATGTCTCACCTTTGCCATCCTTAGCTATGGTTTCTTGATCTATGCCACCTGACAGTGAAGCGATGGCGCCTAGGTAAGTAAAACAAACAGCTTTCTTTATATTTCGCCCATATTTAGTGATTGGTGTTTGTGGCTATCATAGTCATCTGCTTGTTTTCGATATTACTTTGAAGTCCTGTCTTCATTGTCATTTAAACCAAGTTTTTCTAAATCGCCCTCCTTAAATACGACGTGCTTTTTCCTCTAACCAGAAAATACCTATTTTGTGAATTATCTGCATGGGAAACCTCGTCTTCTGAGCCGGTGAATTAAATTCAGCCATTAATTCCACATTAAATTTCTCTGTGGAAAGTTCATCTGTCTCGAACTACTACCAAAGTTTCAGGTGCTACATCTGTAGCAGAATCTTCCTCACTCGTTCACATGAACAAAGCTTGTTGTTCTGCCACGTGATTGCTGTGACGCCAAGTAACCAAAAAGTACTAGATAAAGGCAAAAACCTATTTTCTTTATATTATGCTTTACCAATGTTTTTGTTCTTTTTCTATAGGACGGATATTATTGCTATCCCTTATTCATATATAAGCATACGTTGTAGCGACTGTTAATGTGGCGGTTGCCATTAGCATTAAAAAAGCACTGAAATACCATATTCTATAGTGACAAGAGCCACAGTCGGAGGAAGTAACAACCCATAGACATTACCCTCATCTCGTATGCCAACTCTAAAGACCCGTGTTCTGATACTATGCCTACATTACCACAGTCCAACACTGAAACCACACAGGTGAAACTGAGTGAGCCTGGTACTGCATGTATATCCATTGGAAGCCAATGTGTGACACAGCAGAATTAAAAGGAAATGCTGAAGACGCTATGGCACCTCTAATGCTTCTTCTAGAAAGAAGATGAATGCTAGGCCTGTGGTGTTATCGTCTCCAAGACTGATTCAGCATTTGAACGCAATTTTCGCAAACTGCGTGTGCGCTGTTGTCTTAAAAAAGAAATGCCAAGACCATACTATGAGTTTATGCGGGATAACCCATGCCAGTGGTTCTGGTAAATTTGCCTACTTTGTCTCCCTGGTACAGTCTCATGCAGCGCTCCACCTGACAACAACACATCACTTAAACCTAGCAAAATTTGTGAGGAAGGTTACTCCAGCCCAACCGACTGGAAATATCAATCTTCTTAAAATAAAGACTTCCAAGGTTACACTTGGAAAAGAAGAGGACGATGTATTACCAAAGGACCACTTGTATCCACTAGCAATATAAAAAGACTAGTCAGATCCAGATGAAGTCTAAAGTGACCGACTCTCTAAAGGAGGAAAAACAGACAAAGACCAAACCTAAGTCTAAGGTCGTTCGTATTCCCTTATCCTGTTTAATGCGCCAGTGTGCAGCGTTAGTTCGCTTGAACAACGTGTCCTGTTTATTAGGTCTAAACGTCAATTCAACAAAATTGTGCAGGCTGTACAAGGGGGTTGAGGTACCTCAGGGAAATCTACATCCATTAAGGGTTACACTGGGCTCTGCCAAAGAGGCTGAAAGAATACTGTTACTGGCTCAAGTACTAACTATCGACAGGAGTTCTAGCATAAAAGTGAGACACGATAGGTCATGGGCTAATAGACAAACGGTGAGGGAGTCGCTAGAACTGATGCCCTCTACCTCCATAGCTATAAACTGTGTTCCGGAGTGGGAAACTGGCACTGCTTATGAAAAATACATGCATGATGTACAGTAATGGATATGGCTGTCATCTCAGATGGCCCCTGGTGCTTCGGGAGCAGTTTCGACCTCCCTGCTACTTCGTCACGCTATATTTACCTTGTAGTAGAATTTGCACAGATATACAGTTACAGTGAAGCTGAGCAAGAACTGCAGTCACTTGATCATATATCATCCCTCAAGGTTTGTCTAGTAATGGCTCAGCATCCTTGATAAAATCCACCGTCACCATAACAAGACGCTGTACAGCATCCTATGTAAGCACTGTCAATTATCCAAACTGGCTTACATATAGCTTTCTACGTGTTAATCAACTTACTCGTACGGAGAGTGGGGATATACGTTGTTACGTGTTAAATTTTCGGCGCCTCAGGTTTTCTCGTCTTTCATTGGATTTTTGACTAGTCCTAGGTAGGTGCTATCGTGTGCTGTTTTGTGTGGCTGTGCTATGCGTGGTTCGCAAACAACTTTGACAAATATAAATGTAACATTTGACTATTCTAACAATGTTTCACTGTTTTTTATACAGATACAGTGCTCTTTTCGATGTACACTCTATTGGGACTGGTTGACCGTTATGGTGGTTATCAGTGACTACGATCCTGTGGGTCCCAACGCATTTCTTGAGTTGTGGTTATACGTACAGTATTTTCCACTTCGATATTTCTCACTCACATAGTCTGATACCCTCTATTTCTTGCAAATTAACTGTGACAAGCTGTGGCAATAGTGTGCATCGTTAACGAGCCTATGCATGTTAATAAACTTGTTTTCGTTGTAGCGAAATAAACTTTTCTATCTAATTTTCTTGTGTTCTATTTATTCTGCATGTGTTGGGAATAAGTCATGCTAGACAGGTACTCCCTAGGATATGAACTCGTCACTATACGTAAGTATAATTCTATAGGAACACTATGAATCGATATAAATGGTGAATTATAAGTACTTTAGTTAAGCCTAAACATCTGCTTGAAGTTACGCGATTACGTCTCCTAGTCATAGGTAAATCTGTAGGGACCGATGACAAAAATACCTAACTTCAGTATTTGAAAAATATGAATAGAACTTAGGTACTGTAGTTGAAGAAAACAAAAGACAGATTCAGCGAAGAAAATTTTTTTATCGACGAAATCATCTTCAGAGGCTGTACAATCGTATTTATACTTACAAAAATATATAGTGGTCTGTTATTGAGTAATAGGGGGTGACATAATTGATATAATTACTTAGAAGTGGCTTTAGAAGTGAAAATTAAAAGTTGAAAATTACGTGGTACTCAACGGCAAAAAGATAGAAATTTGATAAGGTTAAAATTGCTATTAAGTGAGAATAAAGGTATTTGAGTGTCAATTTAACAAGTGTGAAGAGGGTGTGAAAATATACAAAAGGAGCATATGAGAGTGATAATAGTGAATATTTTATTAAAGCAAAAGGTAACTAAAAGTGAAATTAGATTGAAAAGAAAAAATCAAAATATATTTTATTTACAAGGAACGATTAGTGAAGAGGTTAAGACCAAGGTAGAATAAGAGACTGGACAAACTTTTTCTGTATACAGAGTTCAGGGTTGTATTGATGAATTGCTAGAGCCTCCGCCATACACAAAAGCCAAAACCTGACGCCCTTTGTACCATTTGGCTTCACATTGTAGATGATCTTCAAAGACGATTCCGGTGGAGCTACGTGGCCTGAGTTCACCAAATGCTCGAGAATTCAGCTGGTAATTGTCTTACATTGTCCCTTTGCTAACCATGCCGGATAATGCTCAGAGATGCGTTTGGAAAGCGTGCGCTTTGTGCGGCCAACATAACTGTCTACACACGAGCAAGTGAATCTTCACGCTTGTTAAATTGACACTCAAATACCTTTATTCTCACTCAATAGCAATTTTAACCTTATCAAATATCTATCTTTTTGCCGTTGAGTACCACGTAATTTTCAACTTTTAATTTTCACTTCTAAAGCCACTTCTAAGCAATTATATCAATTATGTCACCCCCTATTACTCAATAATAGACCACTATATACTGTAGTTGAGTTCAATTTCGTATAAGGTTAAGTGTATTCAAAAGTAGTGCATTACTATTATATCACTTAAAGCGTGATGTCAATCCACATGATTCCGGGTGTTAACGTGTAGTGTAAAATGAAGTCTACAAGAGACGAACTATTGAATAGGTTGAGCTGTAACAATCGTAGTAAGATTCCGCTTACGTTGAATTATGCCAACAATTACTTTCTCAGGTATCATTGATAACTCAGGCCTTCATCTCGTCATGATGACAAATTTAGTTTCACTCAGATAGAATAAGAAAAGTATGGCAAGCAGGATCTTAAATATATTTGATGAAAAATAATAGGCAAATAACTTTACACAATTGTTTTTCGTAATTATTTCGGCGATGTCGAATTGCTGTGATCAGGTTGACTGACGTTACTGGACGTCTGCAAATAAGTCAATAAAGTGTATTTTTTCAATCGCCGAAGTTAGAAAAAAGTAATGTAAAGGCAAAACGCTTTATATTTAACCACCTGAAAATGTTTCATTCTCCTTTCAAAACCTTCGTTCATGACAGCATTCTTCTGTGGTTTTCACTGTCACACAAATTGTTCATCTTCTAAAGTATAGCAGAGAGCAAACAATAGTAATTTAATACATAGTTTAAACGGGTGTTTACGAGGAATGCATGCCATTTCAAAAGGCACAATAAGTTATGCAATGCGCGCGATTCCGATCGAATGCTACAATCTCTCCCCATAACGTGTGTAAGGCATGGTAAGTTCGGCGGTTTTCTAATGTTCAAACTATGCTTGTCTACCCTCAGGTCGGCTACCAAGTGTGCAGGGATTGGTTACCCAAGACGAGGCAACGGATGACCAATATGACTGCCCTTTCCCTCTCATCTAATTGTATTGTGATTGGTTGTAAATATAATCCTTGACCTTGAGTCTTCGTTCTTATTAGCACACGACACTTGTGTGATCACACTGCTAACGTGCGCTTTGCTCTCTGTTTCAGATCATTGCTTGACGAGTGGGATTACATAAATGGCGAGCCTGCCAACGAAAAAACTCTCTTCTTCTAAGTCTCGACTCAATGAGGCTACTAAGAACACTTCTCCTGTCAAACAGACAGCATCGAACGAGGTTGATCAATTAGCTGAAGTGATGGCTCCAGCTTTTCAATCAAATCAGCCTGCATCGCGTTTCGTCCATCCTTTGCCCCATAAACTGGAGGTCGGTGATGACTTCGAGCTGTGGTCGGACAAGGTGCGCCGATACGTTGATCTGATGAACGTGCCTCACCCGAATGCATTCGTCATCGATTCTGTTGGACGGTCCTTGGAAATGTACACAATTGGTTTGGATTATGTGCATATGCCCTTGATCACCCTCTTGAGTACTCTAAAAGCACGTATAGTGCCACCAGTACCTCACATTGAATCGCTGAAAAGATTCAGTGAGTGCAACCAGAGACAGGGTGAATCCATCAACCAGTTCATCTTACGTCTCCGCACGCTTGCACGTCAAGCTATGCAGGACAAGACTTATTCAGAAGTTGAAGATGCTATATTTTCCAAGTTCCTGCAGGGTGTCGACTTCCGTTACAGGAAGGATTTCAACCTACACACTCCAGCCTCCATGGCAGAAGCTGAAACTAGCGCACGCTTGGTGGAAAGCCTGGAAGAGCCAGGAACCACATGCCCACAAGTAAACGCAATGGGACATCCGAACAGAACAACAAAATATGCACAGAATCCCACACCACCGTGGAAAGGACGTCCACAGTCTCAATCCACCTCAAGAAATGATTGCTACTACTGCAGGCGGTTTGGTAAGCTGGCTAGAAGTTGTGGTCACAATGCAGGTGAGTCACATGTTGATATGAAATGTGTACCTACTGTAAACCTAATCGGTGTCACCTCCTCCCCGAAAGTTGTAGGGTTTATAGGAAAAAAAAGTGTGTTATGTTAGTTGACTCAGGAGCAACGTGTTCTGTCATACATTCCTCATGTGTTCCAGAGACGTTTAGGCCCACAATAGGGACTCACAAGTTGCGGCTTACGACAGCCAATGGAGATTGCATGCAATCCCAGGGAGTGGTCCTGCTGCCTCTTAAATTGGGAACACTGTCACTTCATCGTCTCTAACCGGGTGCCGTGGCAGGTAATCTTGGGAGTCGACCTCCTGGAAAAGCTCTCCGGGAAAATAGATTGTAGTCAGAGGACTCTTATACTGAAGGACTGTTCCATTCCATTTATTACAGGGAACGACGTAGAGCACGGCACTTTTGGCGTGCAGGGAGATGCTAAGACTGAGAAACAGAGAATGCTGAAGACTATAGAACCCCTACCATCGGAAACGACAGCCAACTTTAATAAAATGCTAGACAAATATGGGGACTGTTTTGACTGGGATGGAAAAATCCCGGGAGAACAAAACTGGTCCAACACCACATAGAAACGGGTAACGCCCCACCTTGTAGACAACCTGCACGGCGAGTACCTGCACATTACCAGAAGGAGCTTAATAGGTTAGTTGATGAACTGTTAGAGAAAAATGTCATCAAACCATCCGTATCTCCATGGGCTTCCCCAGTAGTTTTAGTGAAGAAATGTGTAGATTATCGTAAGTTGAACCTGTTAACTAGACGAGACTGCTTCCCCCTTCCACGCATAGACGACACTTTTGATGCCTTAGAGGGGTCGAATTGGTTTACCACTCTAGATTTAGCATCGGGATATTGGCAGGTAGAAGTACACCCAGATGACAGGCAGAAAACAGCATTCATTGTACAAGCAGGCCTGTATGAGTTTGAAACAATGCCGTTTGGGTTAGTCAATGCCCCAGCAACATTTCAACGCCTCATGCAAACGGTCTTGAGTGATTGTATACCAGGTAAGTGTTTGGTATATCTAGATGATGTTATCATACATAGTAAGACGATGACTGAACATTTAGGTGATATTTCCGAAGTATTAGAACGGTTGCAGACCGTTGGTTTAAAACTGAACCCATCGAAATGCCAATTCTTCAGGAAAGAAGTGTGTTTCTTAGGTCACATTGTTTCAGCCGACGGCATTAAATGTGATCCAGCAAAAGTTCAGGAAGTTAAAGACTGGCCGCTCCCAAACTCAGCCCCCGAGTTACATAGTTTTTTAGGGTTAGCATCGTATTATCGACGTTTTGTACTTAACTTTTCTTTCCTTGCAGCTCCTTTATTCGACATTCTTAAGAAGAAAGACTACAGCTGGACAGCATCAGCTACGGAAGCCTTCGAAAGACTTAAAAACTGTTTATGTAGCCCTCCTATCCTAGCATACCCCAATGTTTCCGACCAGGCAGGTCCATTCATCCTAGATACAGACGCTAGCGACACGGGTATCGGGGCTGTTCTGTCTCAAAAAGACGCAGATGGAGTAGAAAAGGTGATAGCCTATGCAAGTCGAGCACTCAACAAGAGTGAGAAGAATTACTGCACCACCCGGAAAGAAATGCTGGCACTGGTGAATTTTGTTAAACACTTTAGGGCATATTTCCTCGGTAGACATTTCGTTGTACGCACTGATCATAAAGCCCTTAGCTGGCTACATAACTTCAAAGAAGCTGAGGGTCAGATTGCTAGATGGCAAGAACACCTACAAGAGTATGACTTCGAATGCATGCATAGACCGGGTAAAAATCATGGAAATGCAGATGCATTGTCAAGAAAACCTCTTAGGTATCACGGTGACTGCCCATCGTGCACCGAAGCACAAGTTTCGCTGCTCCAACTAGAGGCTCATGCTTCATATAGTTGGCCCGAGCTTCAGTCTTCAGACCCTGAACTGGCCTTGATTTACGAACGTGTTCGAAGTGGAGGCGAACGACCGACAACCCAGGAAATAAGTAAGCTTGGATGGGAAACCCGGTGTTTATGGTCTTTGTGGGATAATTTGAAAATTGTCGATAACATCCTCTACTACCAACATGGACCTACTTATACTCGTCGCGTTGTGGCTCCACAGTCGGCACTACCCACAGTACTATTGTCATTATACCAGCAGTTAGGCCACGCGGGCTCGGGAAAAATGATCGAAGCGGCTAAAAGGCGTTATTGGTGGCCTCATCAGAGGAAAGACATCATAGATTTCTGTGACTCCTGCGAGGTATGCCAAACTATTGAGGCCCCGCACAAATATAATAAGGCACCCTTAGAACCCATTATAACTGGTCATCCAAATGACTTAGTGCAAATAGACTTGGTTGGACCTCTCCCAGTAACACCCAGAAATAATAACTATATTTTAGTCATGGTAGACCATTTTACCAAATGGTGCGAGGCTATCGCGATTCCACAGATTGATGCTGTAACCATCGCAGAGTCAATTTTTGATCACTGGGTCAGCCGTTGGGGGGCACCACTTCAGCTACACTCAGATCGAGGATCCAACTTTGAAAGTATCGTTGTCAGCGAACTCTGTCGCATAATGGGTATCCGGAAAACACGCACTACCGCGTACCACCCACAGGGAAATGGTTTGGTTGAACGCACCAATCGGACACTCAAATCTCTCTTGCAGGCATTTGTAGACCAAAACTACCCCAGGGAATGCGACCGATCACTCTCGCAGTGCTTAATGGCGTACAGAGCAAGCATGCACAAAGCTACGCGTCAAACGCTTCATTATATGGTCACTGGAAGAGAACTCCGGTTGTCAATCGATCTGACTTCAAACACACTAGGAGAGGACACATTGATTGCATCCGAACACGTAATCAGACTTAGACGAAACCTGAACAAGGTACACCAGATGACTAGGGATATACTCCAAACAAACCAGAGGTACCAGAAAGAATACTATGATAGGAAAGCACATGGATCACCCGTGGAGCCAGGAGACAAGGTGATGCTACTTAAAGAGGCACCACCCAAAGGGAAGGCTCTCAAATTCCATAAACGCTGGGAAGGACCATTTACTGTAGTAGAGGTACTAAGTGACTGCACCTGTAGGATTCAGGAACCCAATTCCTCTCATAGTCTAGTCACACACTTCAATAGACTAAAACCTTTTCGACAACAGGCCTTAGTTCAGGCAAGTCCTACAGGAACAGTCACCTAGCACTGCGGGCAGTGCTCCTATTGGAGAGGGGGTAGTGTAAGGCATGGTAAGTTCGGCGGTTTTCTAATGTTCAAACTATGCTTGTCTACCCTCAGGTCGGCTACCAAGTGTGCAGGGATTGGTTACCCAAGACGAGGCAACGGATGACCAATATGACTGCCCTTTCCCTCTCATCTAATTGTATTGTGATTGGTTGTAAATATAATCCTTGACCTTGAGTCTTCGTTCTTACTAGCACACGACACTTGTGTGATCACACTGCTAACGTGCGCTTTGCTCTCTGTTTCAGATCATTGCTTGACGAGTGGGATTACACGTGGATATATACTTACCGATTTCTGGAATATCGTGGTGGCTGTTATACCACTCCTCAACTATAACTTAGATTAGTTGCTACCCCAGCTTCCAATTACGCAGATATATCACCGCCGGTTATCAAGTTTGGATCCACTCTTTCGCAGGACTCATCCTCCTTCTTGTAATTTAAGAACAACGTCACGCAAAAGGAAACTATGGAGAAGTTCATTATTTTGTGGTTTATAAATCAGGGTCAAATTTTCACGATAATTGATTTCTATATAGTCTGTATTTTACGGCTTAATACTTTTGTCAATCTATTGTTTATTTATAAGCTCGGCTTCTACTTCAAACCATACTGATCTGTGTTCAACAATGACACAACGTAATAAACGAGTACTTTCTATACGTAAGAATAGTTTAGGTCACTCAGCTAAGAAGATACGTACATCCCTACACGTTCCACGTAGCCCCAACAATATCGCCGAAGTCAGAGATATACGAAACTGCTAAGCAAAATAAGTTGGACCTTATTTCTCTAGGAAACTCTGTGAAGGAACTCAATGAGAATATAAACACCATTAAGCCGTTACTGCTTCTTTGTAACCCGACTCACGATACCAATCCGGAAAGTCTGCTGAATTTTGAGCGTATGTTAGACTTTATAGCGAATGAAGTGACTAAACGAATCATGTCTTCGTACAACGTTCTCGCATACAATCTGCCTGATCGGACGCCTCTGGAAAAAATCAAAGTGACATGTCTCCAAGCGTGCGGCATGCCATCAGCGAATTGCCACCTAATCAGACTTAGGAAAAAATCAGGAAAGTATACTTGTCCTGTGCTGTTTAAATTCAGTAGTCCTAATGATGCTAGGAAATTCCAGTCTAACAAGCTGATTAGTTCATCGACACTTTATGGTAACGTTAAACTTGGTCATGACCTAACGCCATGTCAAAGACGTAGCCGTGCAAGTGTATCAAGTGTCGCAAATACATACCTAACTGCAGAATGTTCTACAAAAGACTCTCTCGCCTTACATTTAAGTAAACCTAATGCTACAGACACGCATGAAAACGAAATACCCTTAAGTAATAAAGCTTTTCCTATTAAACCCAACGGTGAAGCAACTATGGTCATAGACTTAGATGCATCTTTACAGTTATGCTCGCTAGACACATCATCCCCATGAGCTGCTAATATCACTACCAATGTTACGCAAAAGGCTAAGCTCCCCGAGTAGCACTCAGACTAGTGTGCACACAAAACGAAGCCACATAACCCTGCCATCCAGAATACCTGTACTCAAACCCGTCACTGATAGGTTTCTTCTCAGCAGCAAACCAAATAACACTAATTTAAGCAACTTCAATCCTACCATTAACCCAGGGAAGCTGAATAAGTCTCCATACTACCATAAATATAACGTCCATGAAAAGAGAGGTAACCCGTCGATTCATCCAACACC